TACACTCCCTGGAATTAACATGTTCCTTCTGATTTGTTTGTACAGAAAAGTAGCACAATGGGGCTCTGGAGTCAGTTGAAATCACTGTGCACCTTAATAGCACTCATAAGAAACATAGATTTTCTTCATCCTAGTGTAAATGTCTGTTATTCGACTGCTTATGGGAAGGGAGGGTGCTTTAAAATAAATGGTACTTATTTTGTAGCTCTCAGGAATTTGCACTTTCTGTCCCACTTAGCCTTTCCTGGGTTTTGAGCTTGCTTCAGAACTTYTGCATTTCAGCACAAATCATTTTCRTTGTACTTGTAACAWGATTCATAACTTTCATTTAAGAATGTACACTGTGAAAATCATAACTTTCCTTTTTGATTAGCACATTTCTACATCAGTATCAGTGGACAATAAGTTTTTTTTTATTTAAGCTTGTTTTGGAAGAACTATTAAAAGACTATTAAAATCGGATGTTTCTTTTAAATCATGAGGTAGAGCTCTTTCAGAGGTTTGGGCGTGGGGCTGAGTTTTATAAATAGGGATTAAGTCTTTCACTCATTAAAGAACTGTTCAGTAATATTGATCTTATGTAGTTATTTGAAATGTCAAACTTCTCTAAACTCTTGCATCAGTGCAGTTGCTTTAGTCTTTTTCCTCTGTTCAAGCTATGGAAATTTCTGCTGTATTTCAAGTACAAATTCTAAGCTTCAGAGAGATGGCTCTGTGAATTCTAGAAAATCTCAGTCAAATGTTCATACTGAGGCAGTGTCTGTATAAAACTGATTATTTTTGTGGAAGAACCATGATGTTACTTAGATAGCCATGAATAGTCATCTCCTATGAAATAAAAACGGGTTCAAACTCAGTAAATTTTAAAAACAAATGAGAACAAATGTTTCATTAGCAAAAACAGACGCTAGCACCCTGTCATGCATTATCATGATCATGTTTGAATAAGAAAGCTGTAAGTTTGGATTTCAGTTTTGAAACCAGGTACTCATTGCAGATCAGATTCCTTAGATTAGCAATTTTTTATCAGTGGCCARTAAATAAACCTCAAACTTTGCACGTCTGCAATAATTTTAGTCTCTGTGGACCTTTCTCTTTCCTGGGCTGGTAATGTCCAAGCAGTTGGCCTATATCTGGGGAAGGCAACTTTATTTCTTTATTTATTTTCAAATCATGGTCAGTTTTACTGGCACAGCTTTAAATAATTATTGTAGGAACCTTACAGCTTTATTTGCTCTCCGCTGGAACCATGCATACTCAGATCGCTGCTTTCTAAAGCGGGTGCCCCATAGTCCATGCACATAAAACTGGAGGTCATTTTTATGGAATTTAGTCTTAAGTTCTTGGCGCTTGAAAACATGCTAATACTTAAGACACTTTTTCAAAGCACTTTGAGGTGAGACTACAGCAGTGTTATACTGTGAAGCAGTCACAAGAGTCCTGGGAATCTCTGTCTCCATGTGAGTGCTTTCTTGCTTGCCCCCCCTGCTCCTACCATATTTTCCAGGCTCCTTTCCACTATGCTGGATGGGGAGAGACTCCCATCACCTTTTGGAACCACTTTCCTGGATGTTCCCAGTTGCAGTAGCAATGACAGCGGTAGGCAACACAGACTATGTCCCAAGTGGCCCCTCTCATCTCACTTTTGCTGTGGTTTGGGTCTCAGGCTTGTCTCTTCCTACCATTTTTTTTTTTTACTTCCTACAGAGGAAAAGCAAGTTCAGTAGCACTTTTAGGATTTTATAAATGGACAGTTTAGTTTTAGTTTGCAGAGGAGTTTTCTTAATATTGCACTGAAGAAAGATTCTGCCTGTTGGAGGAGAAGCCCAATAAATCTGTCCTTGAGCACCATCTGATGGAGAAAGCCGTGTATTGACTGGTAACACGATTTTCTCATTTTCAGCAAAACACTTCTTCACTGCGACTGTAAAACTTGCCAAATTCAAACAGAGATTTCTATTGCCTGATGCTCTGGTACACTTTGCAGTATGGATACTTACAACCCTGGGGGAGAGGGTTGATGCCCAGCTGCTCTGTTTCGGGGATGAGCCAGTAGAAAATGTGTGTTCCTAATCCACATGCTTTCACCCTCCAGTTGCTGAGACACATATAGATAGAAAGCAAATAGGGTAGTGTGGAGGTATTGCATGGGCAGAGAGTAGATAGGCATCCAATTACCTGTTTCAGGGAGGAATTGGGAAAATAATCTGATATAAGGAACCAAATCTTAAGGACTGACCTACTCAAAGTGCAATAGAAGCTCCCCTGAAAACACAGGTGTTCAACCAAAGATGATAATGCTGCATACCAATTAAGAAACTTGAGAATATGCTTCTCTGCTGAAGCCACGAAGTTTATTTCCCTATGTGACTCCTAAGTCGAGAATTCAGTCAGAATAACATATGTGCTGTTATGAAAAGTATCTTGGGATCTTTGGGAGCAATCACACTGTGCACTGGGACAGATTTTCCAACTTCTGCCAGGTTCACCAGCTTCAGACAACAGTCACATTTTAAGGCTGAATTTTTTCAGCTACTCACAATTTCCAAAGCTGTCTAAGTTCTGCCAACATTTCCGAGCTCCTGAATAGAGGAAAGATTTTTAAATTAGCTGGAGGAATGCTTTTTGTACTGCAGGAGCTCTGGTCCTGTAAAAAAGTGTTCTGAATACACACACCCAAAATATGGCATGTGCCACAGGCAGCCCTAGCCAGGTCAGCATTGGACTGGAGGCCCAGCCCATGAAACGTAAAGCAGAAAGTGTCAWGGCCTAGCAGGAGAAACAGGAACTGCTAAGGAAGTGGTAGAAAAACATCATGGACTGTCTGACCCACCTGAGTGAGGTGCCACTTGACTCCAGGAGAGAAGGGAAGACCAATGGTCCAAAGCCAAACCATTTTTTATCCTGCTTTTTACTAGACCAAATCTTTGACTATGCTTGACAGAGCTATCTGTGTGAAGCACCATGCTCTGTCTCACCACTTCCAAGTCAAAGGGTTCCCATTTGTCTCTCATCTAACTTATGAGCCAGCGAGCTAATCAAGAGCTACCAGAAGAATAGAACAGAACAGAACAGAACAGAACAGAACAGAACAGAATAGAACAGAACAGAACAGAATAGAATAGAATAGAATAGAATAGAATAGAATAGAATAGAATAGAATAGAATAGAATAGAATAGAATAAGCATGGCTGCTTAGTATATATTTACTTGAGGCAGTCATAGCATTCAGTTTTCCAAGTTAGGACTGAAGATTCTTTCCCTTAGGACTGTGCGTCTCCTTTAAGGGATTTTCTCCATCAGAAGCAATGTTCCTGCAGGTGGGAGACGGGGCTTCCAGTAGGACATCACCATGGGATACTGGGTTTGCAGCATTTCTTGCTCAAATCATCAGTGATGCGGTTCCTGTACAGCCCTCATCACACTTTAGAGATTCTCTAGACTGCAAGTTTTGATAGAATAGCAGGAATTAAGATCACAGGAGAGGCAGTAACATTGGCAGCTCTGTTGAGCCTCACTGTTTCAGGATCTAAAATATGCTCAGTTTTACACTYACTTTTAGAAATAGCTCTGCAAACTTTCATTTTACAAGAAAGAAACCTGAAGACCGCTTGCAATCCATTAATACTCAAATTCAAGGCTACATCAAACTCCCTTAAAAGATTCATRATTAGATCCTTGCATCTTTGCCTGCAAATTTATAGCAGTGACAGTATGGTTGAACCTGGGATTTATAAACCCCAAAGAGCCAAGCTATAAATACTTACCCAGTGCATTCCACCCGTAGTTGAATAGAGATTGGCAGGCAATGAGTGATGATCTCCACAGAGGTTCCAGTCAGMTAGAATGAGGTTTTTATACAGGAATGTTTCTATACCCTGTGTGGGTTGGCTGATRGCATTAAAAAGTGTTTGCAATAAGCAGTTTTGTCCAGTTTTTTTCTGCATTACCTGCTCACAGACTTGAGATAGTCTAAGAAAAATGGGAATGTGCTAGCCTCTACAGTGATGCTGTGGGAAGTAAATCCAGAGAACAGAAAACAAGSAAGGAAAGCAAACTTTGCAGAAATTGTACATTTCGGATATACGCAACATACAGCAACATGGAGCACAAGTCTTGTGTTCAGACACGTGCAGGTGGAAACTATATTTTCCTTTAGTCCATATTCAGCATCTGCTTTGCTACAGCCTTTAGCCCTCACCATGGGATGCAGGAAAGTGCCCAGTGRCTCAATGAGGCCTTGCACGCTGTCACTGGGCCACATAGCGGGAGCGACATCCCTCCTGGGCAAGACTGGGACCTGCAACATCCCTCCCGGGCAAGGTTGGTACCTACAACATCCCTCCTGGGCTGGCATCTACTCACCGCTCTCTGGAGATGGAAAGAGACAACGCCAGGATCCAATGTGCTGGAGCACAGCCTCCAGCCCCCAGYCTTTAATGTGACTTTAATGTGTCACATTAAAAGTGCTAAGTTCTCTCTTTTTTTTAACCTGGCAATCCACTTCTTGTCTGACTCATAGGACACTTTGCCACTTAATGAAAATAATCGTATTCAATCATATTTTAGGGAACAGCATTCCTTGAAATATAAAAAATAAAAAACTCTAGGAAAAAAAAAACCTTGTACTTGAGAACACACTGAGTTGTGATCTGTATTTTGTACTATACTACACTAGAAGAAAGGGTGAAAAAACAGTGACAAAATGGTAGAAGTGGAATGCCTTTTCATTTTATTGCTATTCCTTAAAAACAATTTTAGTGCAACTTTTTTYCCTAACTGCAGCTTTACAAAAAAGGATTTTTATTGCACTTCAGAAATCATTTCGACAAACAAGTGAAAACTTTTCTTCAGTAATATCAGTTACAAAGCGTCCCTGAGAGTACAACCTTCCACAGTTTTACCCAATATCCAATATTTAATTCCATTTTTATTTATGGACATACAGAGAAACATTTTTCAAAATAACTTCATACACAAACAAAAATAATCACTGACTGTGGACATCACATTTTTCAATTATGCATAAACAAAACCAGGGAAGTTTATGTTTATATGCAGAAGAAATATTCAGGCTGCTGTATAGTTTATCCATACAGTTACAGTGTTTACAGAATTTAGCTTTAGTTGGTGCATTGGCTCTAGAAGGGTAATTGTAATCTGTTATCTAATATAACCAAGACACATAGCAAAAATTGCAATTTTATACATACTGAATTAATCTGTGAGTTTTTTTTTTTTCTGTAGTTGCATACTAGAAGTCTTTGTTTTAGAGAAATGTGATTTTAGGGAAAAAATGTTTATTTTCACTAATGGAAAGAAATAGGATGGGAAATTTAGAGAGCGCTTTATAGAGAGTGCTTTGAGGCAAACACTGACTAAAGGAAGGGAACTTAAAGAACTTGAAAACTCCTCAAGTCCATAAGGACAAATGAAACACAGACTACTAAAATAGGTAACGCCTCTGTGTGAGCTTTATTTATCACACAGAAAATGAGGCTATCAATTGAAACGACATGAGGAATAAGAAACATTACACAAAATTAAAAGAACTGAAGTTTTTAAAATATTTTTAACTCTATTCTTGTGATGTTTCTGTTGGAATCACGGAGTTTCAGCAAGGAAACTCTTATAGGATCATCTTGAAAGGGAAAGGAAGAAAAACAGCCAAGTTATCGCTCTCCTGAAGCAGCAACATTATGTGCACATAGATCTTCAGGGAGACATCTACACTGCTTTTACCAAAAAAATCACATTCCACACAGCTGTCTTTTACATTCATCAAGCACTGCTAGGAAAAGTAGAATGGACTGATGGTTCTAGTGAAAAATGGACTGTGTATTTCAACTTTAACCCCAAAAGGTGATGACTGCTGAGTACTATGGGTCTGAACAACAAACAGCAAGCAGTCAGTGGTACAACTCTGACTGCAGCTCTGTGGGTAACTTTTCCCATAGAGAAAAATTAGTTGGGCCACACAGAGAAGCGATGATGACTCCACCAACACATAAACAGTTTTCTCTGTCTCTAAAATGTCATTTATGCCTCTAAAGATGAAAGGGAACAGATTAGTCCACAACTCCCTTTAAACTACTGCTATTTGCTCCAGCATCCCCTTAACAGGCACCAAAGAAATTAAGAAATTTATTTTTAAATAGAAGGTAGAAAAACTGCTCAGGAAATATTWAAAAAAAAATCATGATAAAGTCCAGAAGTTATCATTAATTAGAAAGCACTAGTGCAACTTGCAATAAAGTTCACGTGCTCAATTTCAGTGTCAGCAGCCTGTATTATTTTAAAACTATTTTAGGACAGCTGAAGTTAGCATGTACCCCGTTCTGTTCTCTGGGAAAGGGTCTGCAGGGCTCAGAGGGCTGCTCTGAAGCACCAGATCACTCCGCACAGCAAGTGTGACAGGCAAAGTTTGCCTCACGATACCACATAGAGAAACATCCCGCTAGCTACGCCACTGCCACAGCAGACCGATGGCTAACGAGTTATATACTGCAAATTCTTTTAAGTAATAAAAAATACACCTCTGATTAAATAATAAAAATCAGCTGTTTCATATTGGAATCTATTGATGTAAACACTGCTTCAAAAGTGAGTTACAAATGGGATTTCTCCATTTCATATCTTTTTTTTTTCCCCCATAAAGGTTAAAAGTCCTGAAAACACACAAAAACACACACAAAGAAAACAACCAACATTAGGTATTTCTCTGTCTCACACACGCACACACACACAAGGGTTCTAGTGGCACCAGGTCACAAAGACGCACGCAGAGTTATGACCCTGCAGAAGACATTTACAGGTTCCTGCCTCAATCTCAACACAAAATGGGCCTCCTTTAAGAATCCTGTTAGGATTGCATGATCCTGTAGGTGCAAGCACTACCCCAGGTTCTGTAATTCCCTTTGCCTTTCCTTTAAGATGCTCCACTCTATCCAAATTTGCAGCTACTGAGTTTTCAACTTAACATTTCCACTGCCGCAATACCTGGGTTTGTTCAGGTTCATGATGAGAATGGCTACCAGAGCCAGGGCAACCCCTAGGCCAGGAGGGCCACAAGGGCTGAACTCCTGAGCAATTCCCGAAAGGAGYGGGGCCACTATCCGCGCCACCGATGTCACGGACTGCCCTACACCCAGGAGCGCCCCGCTGGCCTGGTTCCCACCCAGGCTCAGCTCCAGGTCCGTGATACAMGTACGGCCGACAGTAGTGGAGAAAGCTAAGAACGTGGAAGACAAAACGACAGTCCATACGTTAAGCGCRGATGTGTAGAGGAGAATCAGCGAGCAGGTGAGAATGCTGGAATGCAGCAGAAGGGTGTACGTGTTGTGCTGGTAGAGTTTTGTTATGGGTTCAAGCACAAAGCCGGCCAGGGCTCCCAGGGTACTGCTGTAGCTTATTAGGTAGCCGGTGAACTTGGGTTTCACCCCAAATCGCTCTTCCAAGGCCAGACCAAAATTACTGTAGTAGAGCAGTATAGTAACGGACATCAGTAACCGTATTAGAAATATATCCCACAAGTCAGAGCACGCAATGTCTTTAATTCTCTTCAGCATCGCTGCAGTCTGGCTCCATGAAGACAGGAAGGGACTGTCACTTGCCACAGACCTAGTAGCTACTGGCTGGAACYGCAGGTCACGATTCGTTTTTATTGAGAAATTTTCTGTGACTTTGCTGCTACTGGTTCCTTGTGCACGGTCACTTGTGTTTTCTTCTCTCCATGGTAACACCCAAACAAGACCTAAGGGATAAGAGAATTACTTAATTTCATTCAGTCGTGTTAGCTATACTCGTTTTAACATTAGTTTGTTACAATTTACTTAGCACAGAAAGAAAAAAAAGGACTTTAACATTCATTTCAATAAAAATAACACAAAGACTACTGTTATTCACAGTATCATTTCAATTTTAAGTGTGGTGAAAGCAAGGAAGACCACTGAGGTGACACACTCACAACACAAACTCTTCTAAGAACCATAGAACAAAAAAATCTGATTTCTTGTTTTCATATTTGGGCACAAAAAAATAAACAAGAAAACAACAACAAAATCTTGCCTCAATTGTGTATGAATGTAAAATAATATATGCAATATAAAGAAGAAGCATCTGGAAATTAACCGTTTCAAAATTCCTGCCCCTTCAAACAGGTTCAGATTCAAAATATAGTATCCCTTTATAAAACATCTTTGTCACAACTCTTAAAATTTGATACCAGTGAATTCAATTGCAAATGGCACAAATACCCAAAAGTGCAAAGAAAAGGGACTCAGCGTGCAAAATACGCCATTCGACTCACCAGCATTGAGAATGAAGATAGAGGCACAGATGAAGGATGATTTATAAAAGCCACCCTCCAGCTCCGTAAAGTAGCCACCAACCACCGGGCCCAGTATGAAGCCCACGCTGGAGGCTGCATTGAAGCGGCCGATCACCAGGGGACGGTCTCGCTCCGACACCAGGTCGGAAAGTAAGGCCTTACAAATGGAAAGCGTGTGTTTGAAAATACCTGCAACATAGTAAGAAATAATTCAACATGCCTTGCTGAACCCAGAAAGATAGCAAGCCACAGCAGCTATGTGGGACACCAGTGTCCAAAGCCTGTGAGATTCATATTTTAGAGCATTCCATAAAMCATACATCATTCAAACCTGGAGTCATACAAGAGTATGTCACGGAGGAGACACGTTGAATAAATTGCATAYTTAGCTACAACTACTCCTCAGCTATTCAAAAATGGGGACCTTGGAATCAAAATTGACAAGGGAGTGCTCCTGCTGAAGGAGTAAATAGCTTCTCTGCATGCTGGATCTCATCAGGAATAAAGGATGGTTGAAAATATAGGATCCTGTGAGTACCCACTCACAGGACAGAATACAGTGGTAGAACTTGTGGGAATGGCTTGCCTATTACAGATATATCCCTGTGCCAACTTTGCTGCACATGGACAGTTCAGGACTGCAACACAACAAATTCATATGAGAGTGGTGGGTGGCAAAAACGCAGTGCAGGATACTAATCATGTAGTCACTTATGTTTCTTTCTAAGAAAGGCAACACTCTCAATCTCTTTTGCTGTTAACATCAAAAAAAAAAAAAAAGTATTACTCCTACGACACAATAAACTATCAAATCATTCATTAGTATTTTTTCTTTAAATTAAGAAACAACAACTTACTATAAAATTCAAAATTCAAATGTGAGCATTGATACAAACTTAGTTTCAGTGATAWAAACATGCAATGTTTTTGCACAGCATAGATATTGTTTATTGTAAATACGGTAATAATAGTTTAAACTAAATTTTATATTATGACTTTTAAGTAGGCTTTCAGCACGAGAAAAGCAATATGGCAGAGGTCATTCCATTTTGTACTGAAAATATAGGCCAATATTTTTGGCAGTTATCAGGTATATGACTTATGACTAATGGTACAATTAGTATTTCAAGGAACTGCTGTATTCACATTTTTACATAATTCAACTATTGAAGGTGGCATAAAAAATGTGTCAATTTGAGTATACATTACAAACTATTTTCATGGGAAAACAAAACAAAACAAAACATGAGAACATTTGATTTGCAGACATTTCTCCATTACTGGGRTTTAGTTGGTACCACTGTTTACACATCCACATGCCTCAAGTTTCTCCGATAGTAATTCTCATGCTGAAGCTACAAGGGAACATCAAGTCACAAATACCAAGCACTTACTCACCTACAGGGACCCTAGAAATGGCAAACAGGAATATGGTGGTGGATGTTCCAAGAAGGAGGTAACCCAGGGCACTTAGAAGAACGCAGGCAAGCAGGGAGTATCGTCTTCCGACTATATCACTCCAGCAGCCCTTGGCAAAGGAGAAAATAAGAGCTTTTTATAGCATTTAACTATCTGCTGTGAACAATCAATACATTAAAATACAACTGAGAAAAAAATCATCATCACAGGGCCACCAATGCAAAGTTCATGAGCTTATCCGACACCTTTCCTAAGGGCTCAAAGTCTGCAAAGGAAGATGAGTTCTGTCCTACGGAGAGCACTTCTGCTCAAGCTGTGCTTCTATTTCATGCCACGCACAGACAAAACTTYATTTAATTTCTCCCTTTCTAAAAGTACAATCATGTGATAAAACACTAGGGTATAGTAGTAGCAGTTACTCTTTAMCCTTTTATTTAGATTAGGAGTTTTAAAAAAAATGAAAACACGATGCCTGAATTAAGGCCACCTGGCAACTTAGGAGAGAATGCTCATTAAACAGGGAAAGTAAACTCCAGAAAAGAGAACAAGAAACTCAAGAAAACAGGTCTGTGATGAACTGACTTGTGAGACTATTTTTTGGAYGGGCTACAGGGTTGAAGAAAATTGCTTTAATAGCATAAAGGTAAATAACTTGCAAAAAAGAAAAACCCTATGTGACTGAGATGTGCTCCAGAACGTATGACTGATTCCAAACTTGGATTCTACTTTTTGTCTAAAGACTGTTCTTGCTTAGCAATGATCTGAAGGATTTGACTGGTTTGCGTAACTTTGCATATGTTCCACACAGACTAAAAATTGGGTCCTCTAAAAAAACTTTGAAATTTTCAAGATTCATTTTTTTTAATTAAAAAAATTCACAGAAATAGCAACATACTTATAAATGCAGTTTTAAAACTCACCACAAATGTGCTTGAAAAGAGCTGCATTACACCATAGATAGAGCCTAAAAAATACAAACAAAACAAAACAAACAAACAAAAAGTGTAATATACCTATGGCAAGAATTAAGCATGAATTACTTATGAAAACTGCACACAATTTTAAATGAGGAAACATGAGAGTGGCTTTGGGAATAATTTAGTAAAAGCACTGGAAGAAGAGTAGGAGAAAAAAATATGCACAGTTCTCCACAAAACTGTCATAACCGTTTCAGACCTGAGAAAGAAGAGAAATACCACAGAGCATGTAATGTAAAAGGATGTAGCTTTACAAAGTGTATTAAATAAAATGCATCTTGGCATCTACAACTGCCTCGTCAGAATCAGGAGATAATTTCATTACCAGTGGTCACTAATTACTTCTATTACAAGGCATCTCGCAGAAGCCCTGAAGAAACCATAGGCTCTACTCTCATTTCTGAAGCCAACAGTTTAGCAGCAGTTAGTGACAATTCTGTCACTAACTAAGAAGAAGAAAAAAAGAAGCACAGAGAAACATCTGCCAGGCTCTTTCATTCATGAGAATACACCTCAAAACTCACGTTCTTTTAAAGTTAAATCAAAGCAGAGTGCTGAAATGAAGACATATTTTTGATGAATTGCTTCTTAAAATAACACTCTTGTCAACTCAGAGTAGAACTGGAACTATTTCATGAAAAGTGATAGATTTCATCCAAAATAAAAAAGCAGAGTAATAAAAAACAGAGCAAGAGATCCTAAGTCAACCACACATAGCTACAAAAAACACACTTTCAGCATGAATTATAAACCATACTGTGAGAAATAAATGACCACCACTTTGGAATCACAGAGCTTCATCTCACCACTTCATATTCTGAATCAAAAYACAAAACCTTCAGAATTTATTTGTAAACACTCCTTAAAGATGATAAAGATATTGCTGAAGGGCAGCTCTAATAAATTTAATTAAAATGGGAGCAATCAAGAGCAATAGAAATGGCTGTAAAAACGTTGCAAAGTGAGTAGATAGCAATAAAACACTTCTGGCTTCCAAAGTTGTTAAGATGTTAATTTTTAGATAGTAGGAAAACATCTCTAAAAGTATGATTACAAGGATTTTTTTCCCAGGGATCTGTCATTTTTGTGTCTAAAACAGCATGGTTGTTTCTGTGCTTTGAAATTTGTCATTACTTTTTATTATGCTACTACCAAGGAAGAATACTGTTACAATATCCAGTTTCCAGTAATGCAGATTTTAGTACATGTTATCTTATTCTTCTCAATCAAAACAAGGATTGCAACTTACCTATTATTCCAGCAACTGTAGGACTTGCCCCTAGTGATTTGATGTGCAGGTTCAGTAAAGGAACAACCATACTCACACCAAACAAATCCTGAAAAGCAGGCAGAAAAAGRGGCAATAATTTATCACAATTGACATAGACAATGACACCCTGACTTAAGAATGGTCTCATATTTAAAATTCTAAAAATAATTTCCATGCCTATACAGAATTAAAAAAAAAAGTTTTATGTAGTCATGAATGTGTGAATGTGATATATTGTAATCTCTACAATATGTACAAATCTCTACCTATGTATAAAACTATAAAACAGGCAAGTTTTTTTTTAAATTGAAAGAATCAATTGTCTTACACATAAGCAAAAGCTATAAAAACATTAGTTTTTTTTTCTTTCCAGATACATCTATTCTGAAGACATATAATTAAAGATAAATGCTTTTATAATATATTTTAAAGTTTGCCTGTTTAAAATGAAATGTTCTTGGCACTACTATTTTTAATTTGACCAGGTAAGTGGTCTGTTATTTCAACCACCTAAAACTATTTTTTAACTTGTGAAAGTTAAAAACTACAGTATATATTTATGTACTTATATATGTATATAAGCAGTACTTATACTGTATCTACTTATATACMGTATATATTTATTTCACTTTCAAAGTGCAGCTTATGAGCTGAACTCTCATCTGCAGTGGGAAAGGAGCTTCAAGATGCATCTGTATCTACCAAAATACCTACTCTGCCTGTAACTTAAGAGATGCAATGGAGAAACATGGAAAAAAATCCAGCCAAATGACAACTCTTTTGCAGAAGTAGAGAAACTGGCCAGTGAAGATTGCCTATCCCAAATAATACAAACATTTCCTATTCCATCCTTCTAACTTCTTTATCTTTTACTGAGCTAGCCACAYGGACCCAGTAGTTCTGGGGTATTTTTACAATACAAAGCTGTTCATAGCATGCCCAAARCTGGAGTAACTGCAATTATGAACATCACTAAGTGAAATTCTTACAGTCTGTCATTAAGTATTGTAAGATGGCTGAAACTTGCAAGCTTAGGACTTAGGACTAAATTCTTCAGCAACAATAAATAGCTCAGATAATGTATAAACATCCCTGGTAACACGATCTCTGTGTTCAAAAAACTATTATTTTAWATTTGTGTATAGAATCTTGATTAAGAGAATAATTCAGGTTGGAAGGGCACTCTGGAAGTGTCTAGTTCAACTCCCTGTTCAAAGCMGGGTCAGCCCTGAGGTCAAATCTGAAAGCTCAGCACTTTATCCGTCTGAATCCTGGAGTTTCTCCAGGAACTGCATGACCTCTCCGGCAACTTGTCCCACTGCCTGCCCATCCTCACGGTGAGAAGCGCTTTCCCTGCGTTCAGTCACCAGCCTTGTCTCTCCCTCCTGCCTCGGGGTGCTGTGAGGAGCTYGGCTCCGTTTTCCTTGCACATATGGGAAGCTGCTGCCAGGCCAGCACTCAGTGGGTGAGCCTCCACTCCCCTGACCTCCACTCAGTGGCCTTCCATCTAATTCACTCCAGTGTATCAACGTCTTCCTTGCACCRGGGAGGACGGACTGGGCACAGGGCATTAGGAGCAGTCTCAAGAGCCCAGGAGCACACKCACTCCCCTGTTCACACAGCCTGGATGCCGCTGGCGGATGCACCTTGCATTCAGCACGCTGCCCATGGGCAGTCCCYGCACATCTCAGCTGCTCTCCTGCCTGCCAGGCAGCCTGCACATCTGCAGAGGCTCCTTCCTTCTCGGGCGCARGACTTTGCCTTTGTGCTTGCTGAGTGTCGTAAGGCTCCTGACAGCCCATTTCTCCAGCCTGTTTGGGCCTCCTTGGATGGCAGCCGGGTGCTCCAGCACATCAGCGGCTTTGTTACCTGCAAACTCGAAGACAGAGGAGTCTGCCACCTCCTCCAGTCCCGGCATGACTGGGAGAGGAGAGGTCCCAGTACACAGCCCAGCAACATGCCCCTGGTCACAGGCACTCAATCCACCACTCGCCATTCTCTAAYGGGTAGCAATCTCGAATTTCACTTATATTCCTTATGTCTGTAGCTGTGCTGTACTTGCTCGGCTGCAGGAAGCCTGCATCCTCGCAACAGGAAGCTGCAGCCAGCAACAGCTCTTCAGCGCAGCCTTTCACCACCCTGTGCACTCCTAAAACCAGCACTTGCTCCTCCGTGGCTCTCCGAGGGCAGCCCATGCTCCGTGTCAGGAAGATACTGCACAACTTCAGCTGCACAGTTGCAAAAACAGCTAAAAAGCAAACCATGCTCCAATGTACCTTTGCCTGGGGCATTAACTTAAGAGCTGAAGAGCTGAAAYCAACTGGACTGGTACTCCTATCCAACCTAAGTATGACAAAACACACACCTGTTTTTATTTGAA